CATAGATCTTCTGAGTGGAGATGGCCTTAACCCCTTTAAGTCTTGTCCGGACCTCGGGGCCCTGGCCCTTTAATTCCCTAGATGCCTCTGGTTCATAGCCACTGGTACTCTTCACCTGGGCATCCAGTTCTTTGAAGGACTGCGAGATATTTTGAATATCAAATTTCAGTTCTTCTTTTCTTTTCTGGGGGTGGAGGAAGTGGTGGTGAGGCCAGAGGAAGGAGTCCTCAGAGTTTCAAGCTCCCCACCCCTGCTCCACCTGGACCAAAACACCCTCTTCTCCTAACCCCTCACACAAAGAACCTTCATGTCCTCCCCGCAGACCCCTTGGGGCCTGGCTCAGCTACTTCTCCTCCTAATCCTCAGCCCTCTAGGAGTTCCCAAGCTCTTAGTCTCCCTCCTGAACCCCAACCTCCCCATTTTAGGCCTGCACCTCCCATAGAATTCCAGTCCCCAGTTCCAGTGGTAGCAGCCTATCACTCCTTTCCTCAAGCTCCACCATCACAAAACAAAACAGAAAAACCAAACAAACAAAAAGAAAAATTCATCTTTTTCTGCCTCCTTACATGCTTTCTGTGCTATTCCCCCATCTTCTTCCAATTCTGAAATCCCTCCATTTCTAAAGTCCTAACTCCCTATTTCCCCAGGTTTCCAGATTCCCAGCACCCCAACTCTTTGTTGTTGTTGAGTTATCTTCGGTCGTGTCCCACTCTTCTTGCTCCTATTTTTGGTATTTTGTTTTGCTTTTTTTGGCAGAGATATTGGAGTGGTTTGCCATTTCTTTCTCCAGCTCATTTTGCAGATGAGGTAACTGAGGCAAACAGGGAAAAGTGACTTGCTTATGTAATTGGCATTCATGCTTTGGGGAGAAGGTTGGAATAGACAGCTTCTGAGGTTCCTTCCTCCTTCACACAGCTAGTAAGTGTCTGGAAGTTAGATCTGAACTCAGGTCTTCCTGATTCCAGACCCAAAGCTCTATTCACTGCGGCACCTAGTTGCCTGACTCTATAACCCTTGTAATTCCTTAGCCCTCTCTTAAGTTCTCCAGATCCCCCATCTCCTAACTTTACAACCCCTCAGGCCTATAAATGTCCTCTCTCTCAATCTCCCTAACCCTCCTATATCCTGCCCTTCCCCTATTCCCAGCTGTGTCCCTATGGTCCTCTGACCAGAAGGTCATTGAACACAGTCCTCAGGGGAGAAGTGGAGACTCTCCAGGCCATGCGGGTATGGTTGATCTGCAGCTCCACAGTACAGCCCAGAGAGGACACCACTTCATCCAAGTTGTGCCGCAGATTGGCCACAGGCCCTGGAAGGGGAAAGACGCAAAGGGAGAGAGGCTAGAATTCTTATTTCAGGTAGCTAAGTGCTTGGCCCCTCAATGCCCACCTCAGCACCCTGGGATACAATATGCTTCATGTTTCTTCAGATCCTGCCAGACATGTGACCCTGGGTAAATCACTTATGCTCTCATTTTCCTCACTTGTAAAATGAGGGGTCTGGACTTGAAGATCTGGAACTTGCCTTGCAGAACTAATATCTAAGATTCTATGATCCTGATGTCTTCATCACATGTCTGGGGGTGGGGTACAGCGGAGAGAGCCCATGACTTGGAATCTGGATGTTCAAATCCTGCTCAGAAACATACTAGCTGAGTCACCCTAGGTGAGTCACCTAACCTTGCTTGCCTCAGTTTCCTCATCGGTCAAATGAGCTGGAGAAGGAAATGGCAGAAACACACTAGCTGAATCACCCTGGGTAAGTCACTTAACCTTGCTTGCCTCAGTTTCTTCATCTGTAAGATGGGGGTAATAATAGCACCCACCAATTGGTTGTTGTGAGGATTAATTATGATAATATTTGTAAAGTGCTTTGCAAACATTACTTTTGTTTTATTTTTTTCTTTGCAAACTTTAGAAAGCTAGATGGATGATTATTAACTATTATTCCATCTTTCTTGCTGGTCCCTCCCAGTGACTGCCCTCTACCTGACAGCATGTCCCATACCAATGCCTGGCAGGCACTCACCCTCGTAGATGGCAGCCAGTACGTAGCCAAGCACCAGCAGTCTTCCCTCTTTGCCCAGCATTTTGGGGATCAGCAGAAGGCTGGCACAGCGAATATAGGGCGATGTGCCCCAGCCCAGGGCCCCCAGGCCTGTCCAAAAAGTAAACAAGAGAAGGGGGCAGGGGAGGCGAGAAATGTCTACTGTATCAGACAGCGCCCGTTGTACTGCCATGACACTTCCTGGGCTTTGTCATTCTGCACCTGGTCTCATCAGTAAGACTTCCTTGGCTACTTCAACCCACTAAGAGCTCCCCTTTATCTGACCTACCACTGAAGTCATGTCAGTCCTCAGTCCTCTCTTGTTGTGTCTCAGGATAGCACTGGATGGTCCTGGAAGGTGTGGAGGTGTTTTCTATATCTCCTATAATGTTGAGCACAGTTCTAGGCACAAAGGCATTGCTCAGTGAATGATCAATGGATCCACAAACTCACGGATGTGGACTGATAGTACAGATCAGATCCATCCCGTACAAGCCTCTTGTCCATATCCCCTGATAATTTCTCTGTGTGGAATCCACCCCAAATGCTGGGATGTGTCTTCTAGTTACACATTTCTCTGATCCATGAGATTCTACTCCATCAGGAGCTCCAATTCAGATTCTCCATCTCAGGTGGGAGAATCTAGACCTCATCCATTCATTTCTGTATTCTGTCTTCCCCAGGGAACACCTACTCCTCTTCTTTTCCATGTGTGGTCCATTGTTAGCAAAACTGCTCTCCATTCCCACTCCCTAAGAACCTTTCCCTGAGCATTGCTTCCTCTCACCCCCTACCGCCACCCCGGAGGTGCCTTAGTGTATACAGGGCTGGTTTTCAGACAGGGACACCTGAGTTCAAGCCTCAGAAACTTACCAGCTGTGTGACCCTGGGCAAGTCACTTAACTCTGTTTGTCTCAGTTTCCTCATCTGTAAAAGGAGCTGAAGGAGGAAATAGCAAAACACTCCAGTATCTTTGTCAAGAAAGCCCCAAATGGTGTCATAAAGAGTCAGACATGACTGAAAATGACTGAACAACAACCTAGCAAGATTGTTTTGAGAATCAAATAAGATTACATATGTAAAGTGCTTTGCAAACGTGGTTGCTATTACTCTTCCTCCTCCTTCTCCTCTTCCTCCTCCTAACTAACCAGCTCAACTACCTGCCCTCTCATGATTCTGTCCTCCATACTACCACTACCACTACTACCATCACTACTACTACTATACTACTACTACTACTACTACTACTACTACTACTACTACTACTACTACTACTACTACCACCTAACTAACCAGCTCAATTACCTGCCCCCCCATGATTCTGTCCTTCTCCCAATGTCCCACTGTGTGTTGTGGGCAGAGATGTTATGTCATCTCTATCAGATTCGGAGTCTTCTGCCTCTGGACCTCTGGATCCTTTCTCCACACTAGACAGGGCTTTGACTCAGAAGGGTACTCATAGCTGAGCATAAATTTACTGCCTTGGGTGCTGCTGTCATAACATGACACCTTTTTGCACTCACCCACCATGCTGTACATCAACATTATCTTCTGCTCTTCATAGAGGTTTATGGGGGTCAGCAAAATATGGGCGAGACCTGGGGACCAGAGGGTCAACGTTAAAAGGAAACATTAAAAGGAAAAGGAAAATCCTCCTCTGCTGTCTGCTTAGTCCTCACTCCTCTCCTTATAAATAATTCCTACTGGGATGAGCAGGAGGCTCCAGGGATGTTCGAAGAAGGAAACTGTGAAGTTGGAAGGTGCCTCCAGAAGGACAGCCAAAACGAAGGGCCTTTAGTTCATAACATAAGAGGATAGGCTGAAGCAACTGGGATGTTTCATCTGGAGAAGAGAAGGCACAGAGATTCTAGCGGTCTCTAAATATTTGAAGGGCTGTTACGTGAAGGGCAGAGGGCAGAAATAGGAAGAAAGTGTAGCAGTTGCAAAATGATCAGTTTAAGCTTGATGTCAGGAAAGAACTTCTAACAATCAAAGTGAAAAGTAGAATTGACTGAGGAGGTAAGTTTCCCCTCATTAGAGGCCTTGAGGTGGCTGCCCTCTTATTAGGTATATGACAGTGGGAGGTCTTTTGTGTTATGTACTGGACTAGAGGGGAATTTAGGTCACTTCCAGCTCCCAAATTCTTGGATTCTGTGGTTCTGTGACCTACTCACCCACAGCCAGGAGCCCTCCAGTGCCGGCTCCCAGTAGGAATGCAGTGACAGGAAATTCTCCTGGCTTTCTCCATACAAACCGGGCACAGGGAGTGGGCAGCCCCCAGCTCAGGAACCGATTCACAGCTATAAAGGAATGTGCTGCCTAAATGCCACCCCATTTTTCTCATGGGGTTATCAGCGTACAGTCCAATACTAGTGACTTTGGTTGGGTTTGTCCAATTGGGCAATTAGTACAGCTAGAGATGTAGGGAAAAATAGAAGCACTCCAGAAACAGGGGCTGAGAGAACACTAAGTGAAGAGTGGTAGGGGCTGAGGGGACAATAGTGGAGATGATCAGTAAAGGAGGAAGGGAAGGGTGTCACTGAGAATGTGACTTACTGGTATGGGCTGGTGTCTTCCTCTGACCTTCCAAGCCAGCTTCCTTGGCTTGACTCAGTTTACCTCCCATGACCTTGCTTATACTAGATGCTTTTATAATCCCTTTTCACCCCCAACTGTCTCTTCTGTGACCTCATTTTGAGTTCTGTTGGGGAAGGGGGAAGATCATTCTACCTCTTCAACCTTCCCTTCCTTTTATAGTAAGAGGGAATACGTATCCCCTTTTTCTCCTTGATTCCCAGTAGGGTCTAGGGAATGCTCCAAGGATAGGAAAGATTTAGGGTATGTGACTCTCCCTCCCTAGCCCCTGACCTTGGAAACTAGGTGAAGTGGGAAAGGGAACTCTTCTTTAAGAGACATTCTAGAACTTTAGAATATTGGTGGAGGGGTCTGGTAGATCCAAGCTTGGGGTTCCTTTAAAAAAGAGGTGCCTCTGAGCAGAGCCCAGTGGGCATCTCAATGAACAGATGAATATAGAAGCTGTACCTCAAATCCATGGCTGGCAAAGAGGTCCCTTTGTGGGCAAGGGAGCGGAGCAAGGGTCAAGAAGTGGCTCAGAGCGTGGGTGGCTTTATCCTGGGCCTTGCCGTGGCTACAGTCTATGGGCTTCTGGGCCTATTGGTGCAGGGGCACAGTCCTTGGACCTGCCTGGTGGGCACTCTCTCTCTAGCTATCTTCTTGGGCCTAGGTATGGGCTTTTCCCGCTCCGTTCGAATCAGTGTCCTGCTGCTGCTGCCTCAGGCCTTTTCTCGTGAGTCCAGCGACATTGGGTGAGGGGGGGACAGAGAGAGAGAGAGGCTGGGTTGTCACTTCAGAGAAAAGAAAAGAGGGCTGATGAGGTATCAAGACCAGGGGAACCCTAGGGTATAGGAGAGAAAGAATCACTGCAAAGAGGGCCAGGACCTGGGAGTACACTGGCATCAAGGGGGCAGCCATAGGAACAATGGGGGTGGAGGTGAAGAGTAATTGGAATTAAGTGCTGGGGATACAAATAGAAAGTAGAGATGATAGTTCCTGATCTCAAGAAGCTTATGTATTAATCAGGGAAACAATACATGTAGGGGAGTGATGGCTAGAGAAGGGAAAATCACAAAGAGGTCAAATCAAGAAATAAGGCAACTCATATCCTGGGGTGAAGATGAGGAAGGTTGGATCCTGGGGTAAAGAAAAGGAAGGTTAAATTTGGGGGTGAAGATGGGGAGGGTTGGGTCCTGGGGCAAAAATGAGGAAGGTTGGATTTGGGAGTGAAGATGAGGAAGGCTGGGTCCTGGAGTGAAGATGAGGAAGGTTGGATTTGGGGGGGGAAGATGAGGAAGGCTGGCTCTAGGATAAGCAGAGCAGAGTGCTTCAGCTCTTCCCAGGAGTGGCCTCTGATGGTCTGGGGAGTGCAACAGCATCAGCAGCTAGAGAGGGTGGAAAAGTAGCCAGATCCCAACCCAGTTCACCTTAGAGTGGGTTCTCGTAGGAACAAGAAAGTTGGGGTTGGAGTCTGAGAAGGGTTTGGGGTAATACCCTAGTGAGGATTCTGAGAGCTCATTACCTCCACCAGGACAGGGCCGGACACTGCTGCTGATTGCAGCCTTCGGGCTGGTTATGCAGGGCCCCTGTGCCAACATTATCAGAAACTTCAGTAGGGCGAGTGATTCTGTGGCTTGTGGGGCAGAGCTGGCCCTTAACCAGAGTGCAGAGGTGCTTCAGCGGGCCCGGCAGCCCCTAATCAGTAAGAGTTCCTTCCCTTCTGGCCCCCTCTTCACCTCCTTCTCCAGAGTTATTGCCTTTTTCCTGCTCTCACCTCCCCCTCTTCAAAATCCCCGTGTCTTGGGTATCTGGCATCATGGTTTCTACTTTATAATGAAGGGTCTTGGAAAGGAGGGTAGTCTAGTGGTCTCATGGAGATGATTTGGAACCAGATGATGTGGAATCGAATGCTCATTCTACAGCCTATGTGACCTTGGACAAATTACTTCTGCTCTCTGGGCTTCAGTTTCCCCGTCTGTAAAATGAGGGATTCAAATAGGCCTCTTCCAGCTCTATATCCTATGATCCTATGAAATCTTGGCATCCTCTCCCATCCCCCGAGATGTAACCACTCCCATTCCTGAGGTGCTTTCAGGTTAACAAAGCGCTTTCTTCACAACTGCCCTGCAAGGGAGGTAGTGCAAATATCAGTTATAACTAGCTTGGGAAGATGGGTAGGGGCCTGTGCTTCCTCCCCCCAACATCTGAACTCACTTCCCTTACAGAATTCTGTCTGTTGGCTAATCCTGTGGCCAGAAGCACCCTGAGTCACATTCCTTCTGCTCAATTGCCCCAGGGCCTTCCTTCCTCCTTAACCCCTAGGGCAAGGCTGCCCCTCTCCCAAAATGACCTCACTTAGGTTGGAATATCCTCTGTACCACTACTGCTACTGGGGAAAAAATGTGTAGTTTGGGCTCTGGTAATACTCATTTTAAAAGTGTTTTGGGAGGTTAAGTGATTGGGCTCTGTCAGCACACTTAGTAAGTGGCAAAGGCTGCCTTCTGACTATGAATCCAGTGTCCCTTGCCAAACACCAAGTGGTAGTCCATGGGTCAACCTCCCCTATACCTCAGGGGTCAGGGCTCAGACCTATGGAAAGGATTTCCCCACCCCACGTCCTTTTATCCCCTGCTATTTCTTACTAGGTGCCCTGAAAAAGATCAAGGCCCTTGCAGGGAAGGCCAAGGAGGTGGCTGACCGGATCCGGAAATTCTTCCGTTCTATCATGGATGGCGTGAAGCACGTGGGTCAGTTCATTTGTCTACAATATACTCTTTTCATAGCCAAAAAGCACAATGAAATTCCCTCATCCTCTCACCTCTTAAGTCTTCTCTCTGTTGTGTTCATCTTTGGTCTGGGCCACTCTCCCAATGGTCCCTCTTATATTCCATTTGACTGACCCAATCTAAAAAAAAAAACCAACCACAGGGGCAGCTAGGTGGTGCAGTGGATAGAGAACCAGCCCTCGAGTCGGGAGGACCTGAGTTCAAATCTGGGCACAGACACTTGACCCTTACTAGCTGTGTGACCCTGGGCATGTCACTTAACCCCGATTGCCTCACCAAAACAACAACAACAACAACAACAACACCTGAAGCAGGCAGAGGTTAAGTGACATAGCTAGTAAGTGTCTGAGGCTGGATTTGAACTCACATCTTCCTGACCCAAATCCTGTACTCTTTTGCCACCTAGCTGCCCACTTCCCCCTCTATCTTCCCTTGTTTTCTGGATCCACCTTGTTACATAAGGAAGAGGATTAGTTATAGGTGGGTTCTATGTAAGAGAGAGAAAATGTATGAGAGGATAATGGCAATCCATCCACCTATTCATCCATCCACCCATCCATCTATCCATCCATCTATTTATGTGTCCAGCAAGTTATTTATCGGATGCTCACTCTACCCACCCTCCTCTCCTTAGTCAGGGCCCTGCGAAATGTGTGGTACTGGCTTTTGCACATTGGCGATGTGTGCAATTCTGAGCTAGGCTCACCCTACGGGAAATGTGCTAAGATCTTTGATGATGCCAAGGATCGCTGCATGAAGGCGGTGCCCCAGTTCTACCACCTCTGCTATATCCTCATGCCTTTCAAGTTGCTCCTCTGTGGTCTGGCCACTGGTAAGGATGGGCCCACTGTAAAGGTGGTTGGGGAAATCACTGTGTGTCATGAGATTGGGGGGTAGAAGTAGGTGGTCAGGGTGGAGAAGAGACAATGAGGAAAGGATGAGGGATGGGGCTGGTAGGGACTTGGGTTCAATGGGGAGGACATAAAACCAAGAAGGGAGACCAATAGAGGTGAAGAGTGAAAAGTAACAGGGTCATTGAAGAATGTGGCTGATACTGGGAGATAAGTGACCCCATCGATCTGTTCCTCCTTCTGATTTTGCCGTCCTCTCACCCCTCTGCCCTTCCCAGTGACCCAGCTGTTCTGCGTTATCCCCCGCTATCTACAGCCATTCTTGCGGACCACCATTGGCACCCGTGAGTCACCCTGCCCTATTTCCTACCCCAGAGGTGCTCCCCAATTGCCAATAAGCTGATCTCTTCAGGTTGGGCAATCATTATTCTCAGGGCTGCTTCTCAATTCCTGAGGTCCCTCTTCCTTTTCATTCATATTCCATAGGATGCTACCCTGTGGGTCCAGATGCACATGTGATATATTCTAACACAAAACACTTTTATGTGTTAGATCTCCTTTTGAGGTCAAGTTAAAGGCAAAAGACTTTGTTTTATTTATCTTTGTAGCTTGGCATGTCCATCCTTACCCTCTACCCCATCACAGTGCCTGGCACCTAGCAGGTGCTTAATGTTTGAAGGAGTGAATGGATACCTCCTCCCACCCAGATGGGTTTTTTCATTCGTGGAAGTGACTGACATCTTTCATACTTGATCTCTCCTTTTCGATGGATTGTGCCCTTGCCCTGACTGCTCACTTCTTATTCCTGTTACCTCTTCCAGCGGTGATTCAATTGATTAACCGTGTGCGTAAGGAGTTTGAGTTCAACGTCACATCCTCCCATCACTTCAAAGTGAATCTCAACTCTTCCCGAAGCCTGTCTCAGGTGGCCTTTGACCTTCGAGAGGCTGTCAACCTGAGGCTACATCCCATCAGGGAGACCCTGGCCCTGCTTGGCCACACCACTCCGCTACTGTTAATTTTCCTCTATATCCAGTAAGAACGTGGAAAGCATGGATCTGGGAGCAGGGAGTGGGAGGTTTCAAAGTCTCAGAGGTCCTGTAGTGAGAGGGGCATCTGACATTTCTTAGAAGGAGTTTCCAGTTTGATACTGATCAATCCAAACCTAGGACCAGGGGTAGGAAGGTATGAACCTGTCTGGGGTACAGCTTGGTTGTTTGGTTGGGTTTTTTTTCTTCATTTTTTAGTTTCATTAATGCTTTGCTTAGACATTTTCCAATATCTCCTCCCAGTGAAACCTCTCCTGTAACAAAGAAAAACTTTTTTTTATGGAAACCAATTGACATTAGAAACATTACTGTGATAGTAATAATAATAATAATAATTAGCAACTATATAGCAACTGCTATATGCCAGACATTGTACTAAATGTCTTATAAATATTATTGCATTTGATTCTCACAATAACTTGGGAAGTAGGTTTTATTATTATCCCAATTTTACAGTTAAGGAAACTGAGGCAAACTGAGGTTAAGTGACTTGCCCAAGGTCACATAGCTAAGATATGTCTGAGGCTGTATATGAACTCAGATCTTCCTGACTCTAAGCCCAGCACTCTGGGCTTAGCACCAGCTAACTGCCTCCTGCAGTATCTCTGACAATGTATGTCATATTCTGTACCTGTAGTACTCCACCTCTTCATGGAGAGGAAGGAAGTATGTTTCATCATCTGCTTTCTTGGATTAAGACTGATTATTTATATCATGGCTTATCTTCCTCTTCATAAGCACACGTTTGTTTGTTTTAAACTTTTTTTTTACATATTTTTTAATGCCAGAAAATCCCCCTCTCCATGGCCTAGATTTATAAATCAAGCTGCATTTGTGAGAGTAAAGGTCCATAACCTCAAAAGGACAGTGGTGGGGGTGGCAGAGGGTCCAGTTCTCAAACTTACCAAGCGTTGTACAAATTCCTAGGGTGGGCAGTCCCAGCTCTGGACCTGTCTTAGGAATGAGGCCCTAAAGGGCTCTGAGATCTTCCTCACCTCTTCCTCCTCCAGAGCCCTCTTCTACCGCTACTATTACCTGACTCAGGACAACTTTGACAACATCTATATAACCAACCGCTTCATGCGTATGGATGCCCGCCGGATCCAGGCTGGTCTGCCTTCAGTCCTGCCCCTGAGCCTCAGGGAATGCACCCGATATATCCGGCCAGGTGATTGTGTAGCTCTAAAAGACAGAAGTTTCCTGAAGACAGTATTAGGTGATGTCTGAGGAAGGGTAGGAATGCTAGGACCCTGTGCCATGGAGTTCTGGTTACCATTAGTACTGACCACACCATTTGTTGGCAGATCTCTGTCTTTAATGTTAGGGAAATACTCAGATGGAGCAGGAGACACAGACTCTACCTTTGGGGAGATTTCAGTTTTGTAAGGCCAAACATTCCTTCCTCTTCCTATTACCATTGCCTCAAGGACACAGAAGAAGAGAGAGGGAAGGTCCAGTGATTTATCCAGACAAAACTCTACACATCAGAATTGGAGGCATGGAGAAGGATGGGAGAGCCATAAGAGGATAGGTAGTTACTTTGGGAAGGCTTGCTGGACCAGTGGTGAGAAGGAGGAAGGATATCTAAGAGGGACAGAAGAACTTGGTGGAGAATGAATGGTTCATGTGGGGCTGGGAGATGAGGACCAACTTGACCCAACTATGGTGGAGAAGTAGAGTTGGAGATTCTAGAAAGTCAAGGCTTGGGGCAGCTAGGTGACGCAGTGGATAGAGCTCTGGCCTTGGAGTCAGGAGAACGTGGGTTCAAATCCAGTCTCAGACACAAGACACTTACTAGCTGTGTGACTCTGGGCAAGTCACTTAACCCCAATTGCCTCATCAAAAAAGCAAAAAAAAAAAAAGACAAGGCTTGTGTGGGCATGAGTGGGCATTATCACCATCATCACTTAAACCCTCAGTGTCCTTAGCAAGAATCTAAGACTATAGATTGCAAAGAAGGTGAAGACCAGCATTGACAGAAGGGATTTCCCACATTTCTATAGCAATGGAATAGCAGGTCCTGTCCCCAGACATAATCATCACCATCATCACCAGTGAAATAACTTATTTGGAGCGCTTTGCAAATCTTAAAGTACTATGTAAATGTTAAAATATTATAATAGTTAACATTTATATAGCACTTTCATGGCAAGGGGGTGGGATTCTACACATTTGGCAAAAGGGACCCCTTGTGGTTGTGTTATGGCTGTATATTTTTTGGCAAGGCATTCCCTGACCCCCATCTTCACCATTCCGGAGGATTTTCTCTATGAGAAGACTGAGGCCTGTTAGGTTGCCAAGCATGACTAAGTATAACAGAGGGTTGTTATCGTTGAGTTGTTTCAGTCATATCTGATTCTTCATGAACCCATTTGGAGTGTTCTTGGCAAGGATATGTAGTGGTTTGCCATTTTTTCCTCCAGCTCATTTGACAGATGAGGAAAATGAGGAAAAGAGGGTTAAGGGACTTGCCTGGGGTCACACAGCTAGTGTCTGAGGCCAGATTTGATCTCAGGCCCTCCTGATTCCAGGTCTGGTGCTCTATCCACTACACTACCTAGCTGCCCATGACCAAGTAGGACTCTTGTTTCTTGATGGACAGGGTCATGGTATAGGGTAGAGGTGTAGGGGGTCCCATAATGGAAGGGACTCTTATTCACCAGTCCACTTTGTGGGCACCACTTCCATGCAGCTGTGCTGAGTCTCTGGTGCCAGCTTTCTTCTTCCCTAGACTCTTTTTCCTTTCAGGTTCCCTATACCTGTCTAGGATGGAGCGGATGCATTACACCTTGGCGACCTTCACCCTAATCCGACATCTGCTGCTGGTGTTGCTGCTCGTGGTACTGGACTATGCCATCTTCTGGTTGCTGGACCTGGCTCGCTATTGGCTGCAGGGGGAGATTGTGACTCGGAGTGAGAGCACCCGTCCTGTCAACCTGCCACTCCTCTGATTGCCCTCCTCTGGACCCTCTGACCCACCCCCTTAACCCTTCTCCAACTCTTACTCTCCATTCCCTTCCTTTAAACTTCCAACCAAGTCTTACCTCTTGTCCTGGATCAAAAGATAGTGAGCTTTAGAGCTGGAAGGGATGTTACATATCTTCAAGTTTATCCCCACCTTCTCCTATGTAATAGTGGTCATCCCTTCAACCCTCTGGGCTAGTAGGGTTTTTATATGCATTTGACAAAACAGATTCATCAAAGAGAGAAATGACTTATTCAATGTCACCAAGGTAGGACTTCAAACCCGGGTTGTCTAACTCCAAATCCAGTTCCCCCTTAATAATAAGAATAATAATAGCATTTATATCATGCTTTAAGGTTTGCAAAAGTCCTGGAAAACAGCTCATTTGATCCTCACAACAATCCAGGAAGTGGGAGTTATTATTCCCATTTTACAGATAAGAAAATTGAGGCAGACAGAAGTTAAATGGTTTGCCCAGGGTCACACAAATAGCAAGTGTCTGAGACAGGATTTGAATTTAAGCCTTCCTTTTTTGTTTGTTGTTGGAGGCAGTCAGGGTTAAGTGACTTGCCCAGGGTCACATAGCTAGTAAGTATCCGAGGACTCATTTGAACTCATGTCCTCCTGACTCCAGGGTCTTCTTAATTCCAAGTCAAGTCCTGTGCTCTTAACCACCACACCACCCAGTTGCCTTTTTCATCTGGTTATTTTGGCTAACATGAGTTGAACATAGATTCTACTATCTGCCTCTGTGTGTGTGTGTGTGTGTGTGTGTGTGTGTGCGTGTGTGTGTGTGTGTGTGTGTGTGTGTGTGTGTGTGTGTGTGTGTGTGTATAAAGTGAGAAAGTGAGGCTCTGAGTCTCTTCCTGCCCAAAGGATCTAGGGGCCTCCCTATCCCCAATGGGTACATTTCCTGGCTATAAAAGTGACCCTCTCGAATGAGTGAATCTTATTCTCATCAGATTTGGCTTGAGAGAATAACATACACACTCAATTGGGTATGGAAATCTATCTTACCCGACAGGAAAATAAGGGGAGAAGGGGACAAGAGACTAGGAGGATGATAGAGGGGAGGGCAGATTAGGGGAAGGAGTAATCAGAAGCAAACACTTCTAAGGAGGCACAGGGTCAAAAGAGAGAATAGAATAAATGGGGGGTGGGATAGGATTAAGGGAAATATACTTTTTCACCAAAAAAAAAAGAGACCTTCTCAAGAAGGGAAAGCTGAGATGAGATGATTTCATTACTCATCCTATCCCCTGTGTTCCCAGACCCTGTGTTGGTGTCGGTGACTGTACAGGGGACAGGCTACGTGGGACAGATCTACCGTGACCTGGTATCAGTGTTTGACATCCTTCAGAAGGGAAATATCACCATTCTATCCCGGCGCTGCCTTCTCCGTACATCAGAACCCAACTACAAAAGCTATATACTTATTGGTAACTATTCACAGTGCACTGGGAGGGACTGGAAGATCCAGAGGGCACTTAATCAACATTGAAAGGTTTAAAGATTTAAAAAGTGGGTCAAATGACAAAGTGGATTTAAATTAGTTGATTATGCAGACCCAAAGAATAGTAGTGACTGAGAGTCGGTGACAACCAGGAGGGAGGTCTCTAGTGGAGTACTCAAGGATCTGTCCCTGGCATACTGTTTGGTGTTTTTTCTTTTTCTTTTTTAAAAAATTATTGATTTGGATGAAGGCATTAGTAGCATGTTAATAAAATTCATAGATGATACAAAACTGAAGAGGATAGTTGCAAGACAGACACAGCCATCCAAAAAGATCTCTACCTACTGAAACAAACTCAGGAACTATATGAACACAATTACAAAACACTTTTCACACAAATAAAGTTAGATCTAAATAACTGGAAAAATATCAGTTGCTCATGGGTAGGCCAAGCAACTGATATAATAATAATGATGATATAATAAAAAATGAGAATTCTACCTAAATTTATTTATTCAGTGCCATACCAATCAAACTGCCAAAAAAATCTCTACATATTAGTGTGGCAGACCAAACCTGGCAAGATGCAATATAGTAGGGACAAATGTAAAGTACTTTACTTGTATTCAAAAAGTCAATTGCACAAAGATAGGGGAGACATGAATAGACTTAATTTCATGTGAAAGAAAATGAGGTTTTACTGGTATGCAAACTCAAGTATGAATCAACAATGTTGGGGACATAAAAGAGAGAAAAAACACACCAATTTTAGGCTATATTGATAGTAATGTGAAAGGTGATGTATTCTAGAGGGTAGGGGGCACTGGCCTTAAAGTCAAAAAGACCTGGGTTTATGGGTTCTGACACATACTGTGTGATCATGGGCAAATCACTTAACTTTAGAAATGACAACACCTGTCCTCCCTACTTCACCCAGATGTTATAAGGCTCAAATGAGATAATTAATGTGAAATGCTTTATAGGATAAAGTGTTATATGGGATACTAGGGCAGCTAGGTGGTGCAGTGGGCAGAGTATCAGACCTGGAGTCAGGAAGACCTGAGTTCAAGTTCTGATTCAGACAATACTGAGTTGACCCTCCCTGCCCCCTCTCCTCCAGTCACTAAACTAAAGTCTGGCCCCAAAAAGAAAGTAAATGTTAGTAACTGTTATAATGATTATCAAGGGTATGAGGTTGATGGAAGGGAGGGAAGAAGTTCCAGAAAATGAAACCTGTTTTGGGAGTCACAGCATTGGGAACTAGGGTCTCTCAATATATCCTCATCAGGGCCTGTGCAATTCTGGGAGGGTGTGGGTCTTGTATTCTTCCTCTGGTAATACCCACCTTGTCCACAGGCCTCATGTATGGCCTGTGTTTCTTTGTTACCCTCTTCGGCTCTTACGTTGGACGGATGAGTCGGGTCATCTGTGCTTCCTACTACCCATCCCGGGAGCAGGTGAGAGGCCTATAGTCCCAGTGGATGGGGTGGAGGGAGGGCAGCTGTTTTATTCCAAGCAGTGGTTTACTACTCAGTAGTTGGGAGTTTGGGAAACTCAAAGTCCTTACTTTCATTTTCTGAGTGTCCATGGTTCCGTGATCCTCTGTAGACTCCCCAGGGCAAACACAGAAAGAAGCCTCTCAGGGCAATGCTTCACAGGATTACAGTGTCCCTGGACTGAGGATACCTTGAGTGGGGGCTTCCACATAATCATTCAGTTTTACAGCTGTAATATTGGGTTTGGCAATCCCCTCTGCATCCCCTCCCTCCCAACTGCCTTTGCTTAACCGTAAGCAAGGGAAACTCCTTCTATTTGATTTGGATAGAAATCTGTCCACTGTTGGACCTTATAACATTGAACACTCCCCTACCCAGGAACGGATCTCTTTCCTGTACAACAATCTGCTGACCCGCCGATCCAACTTGGCCATTTCTCTGGTTGGTGCTGTGAGGCGTCGGGCAGCTGATCAGGGCCACGCCAACATTCTCCTTGTGCTTGCTGCCAAGTGAGTTTTCTTAGTCCCCTGTCTCCCTGAAGGGAAAGTCCAATAGCAGATGAACTAGGGGGTCAGAGTGGAAATTTGCCCCTAAGTTGAATGTGCAAAATACTTGTGCAAAGTGAGAGGTACCTCAGGATTTATGGGATACTCTGAAGGATTCTCTAGCAGAATAGAAGGCAAGAATGGGGCCAAAGAAAGAGGAATAAGTGGTTGGTTCAATGGCAGGGTTAGACTGTAGGAAGGACTTCCTAATAGGTCAAAAGGGCAAAAGTAACGGGATAAAAAAGGACAGGTCCCCATCATCTGAAAAGCTTTAAGGTGGGTTAGGGGAGAGGATGACCCATGCAGAGGATGTACACAAAACCCTCCTGCAGGTGGCCCCGCCTAATACCACTCATCAATCTCCTGGGAATCCATCAGACCTACTGCCTAGGCTGTGGAAGGCCTCAGAATGAACATGAGATGCAAGATTTTGTTCCCTGCAGCACCCCAGGTTGCAGAGGTAGGCCTGCTGGGAATCACCAGAGTCTTGCTCTGGAGGTGCCAGCATGGTACTATGGAAAGAGTTCTGGATTTGTTGTCTTAAAGTTTAGGTTCCAATCCCATTTATGGCACTCTGAAACCTAGGGAATCACTTAGTTTCCCTACCTTCAGTTTCCTTTCTCTATAAATGAAAGGTATGGACTGACTGGCTTCTAATATCCTTTCCAATTTAAAATCTATAATTCTATTTAATTTGCATAGACACAATCAATTGTGGTGCATAATTTACGTAGCCTTTGCATAGGTTTTACATTTGGATCCAATGTTATCTCTATGCATGAACTCGTTTGCATATGGGCATGGTGCTTTGCATATGCATTTTGTGATTTGCATAAGGCAGACACAAATTTGTGAGTTTTGGCCTAATTTGCATTGCACCCTTTCTGCAATGTGCATATATTCTATTATTGCATGGCATTCCATCGTTTGCAGCCCAGTGAGGTGGTGGAGGCCAGGAAGAGCTCCATGAAAATTGAGGTGGGGGAAGAGGACAGAAAGGAGGGGTAGCCAGGCCAAGTATTCCTGAGTCACTAATCCCTGGGCTCCACTGCCTAGGCCTCTTCTGCAGGACCTGCTTCAGACTCCTGAATAACACCTGCTCAGTGTGTGCAGCGCCCCTGACTCCGCAGGGAGACCTGGATCTAGAGTTGTGAGTTCTCAAGGACATAGCTAGCCACGGGGTTGGTTCTAAAAGGGAGGAAACCAGGATGTAAAAGGTAGGAGTGGTGGAGGGGAATTCATTTGTCTAGGAAGATTCAGCAATAACCTCCAAGCCCCTAAATTCTGAGGTTTCCTTCAGGGACTCCAGTGATGATGAACACCCCCGCCTGTGGCTGGCTTCAGCCAAAACACTGAGCAAGGAGAAGCAAAAGCGGCTTAAGAAAAAGCTGAAGACAGTCCTGGGGAAGGACAGGTTCAGGAAGCTATCCCTTCTCTCTAATCTAGATCGAACCTGTAGCTCAAGGTGAGAGAAGAGCAGAGGGATGCCAGGAAGAGTAATGTGGGAAGAGGGCCTGCCTCTAGCCCCGACCCCATACATTTTCTCTTCTTCCCAGCAATGGAACAGGTTCTAGCTGTAACAAGCAGCAGGAGAATGAGGATGGGGTCAGTGGTGACCAAGCTGAGGACAAGAAAGAGAATGAAGATGAACCCAAGTCGTTCCCACAGCCTACCTCCACTCAATCTCCTGTCCATATTACCATCTCCCCATTTCCCCCCCTCCCCCAGAAATAGCTACTGCCTCCTCTGGTTTCCAACCCCATCCAACCCTATCTACCTTCTCTGTCTCCCGATTCCAGATCCCCATCCCCACCCATAATTAAAGAAGGAAAGAGAGGCCAACACAACTGCGAATCTTAAATTATTATTATTTTCTTTCTGTTGCTTACACCCGAGGGGAGGGAAAGGGAATGGGGCAGGAGAGGAGGAACTGCCCCCCCCAACCCTAAGGCACTGACTGGAAAAGCCAAGGGAATGGGGAGGGGAGGCCAAGGTGTCCTCAGTCTCCCTCCCTCCAGCCCTGGGCCCCCCACCACCTGAAATGCTAAGATGGGGCCCGGGGCACCCAACCCCCCCAATATATTACATCATCACGCCTTAAATAGATACAGGGACTGGTCCCGCTACCCCCTCCCCTGACCCCCCCTAGCTTGGGGGGGGAGAGGCCTGAGCAGCTGTGCAAATGGGCATGGGGCATAGTGGGAGGGGGAAGGAAGGGAGACAGCACCGGCCCCTGAACCTGCCCCCCCAGGGAGGGGGAGGGGCCACTAGGCCAGGGAGGGGGAATAGTGCAAGGCAGAGTTGGGGTGGGGGAGGGAGGGATCCCCCCTTACCAGCCCAATCAGCAGAGCCCAGGCCACAGTGGGGGTCCAGCACCCAGCGAGGAAGAGGGCTGGAGAGAGCCCCCAGCACCCTCCTGTCACCCCAGGAAATCAAGAGAGAATTAAAATTTTCAAACTAGATTTCAACAAGACCAACAGAAGATGCTATATACAGAAGGATGGGTGGATTGGATCCTAAGGGAGTCAGGGGCGGGGGGGGGAGAGGGCGGGAAGAGACTCCCTACCCAACACAGGAGAGGCCCCCAAGGAATGGGGCAGAAGAGGGACAAGTTATTTGTGCAGCCCCTCGAGGGACCGGCAGCACATTCAAGCTATTATCCCGCTGCTGCTGCCGCCGCCGCCGCGAGGGGGCGCTCGCCCACAGGCAGCGGTGGTTGGGGGTGGCGGAATCTACTCGCCCAAAGCAGCCGCGAGGGGCGCTCACGCTCGCTCAGCAGCCGGCCGCCAGGTGGCGACCGCCAGCCCACTCTCAGTAAGTCTGGTCCTCACCCCCTCCCCCCCCCCAGCCCGAGCGGCAGCAGCAGCAGCTGCAGCGCCAGCCCGGGGGCGGCGTGAGTCAGGGGCGCGGCGGCGGCTGCACAAGCGGCAGCAGTGGCGGCGGCGGCAGCTCGCACCTGGGCGGGGAGGGGAGAGAGCCGGGGAAGGGAGGGCAGGGCTAGGATGGGACGAAGCCCGGCCCGCCCAGCCCTCTGGCCCCGGGCGGGGAGCGGCGGGAACAAGACATTCCCTGCCTGGGGACGCGGGAGGGGAGGGGAGCGGGTGGGGCTCCTCCTGCTGCCCCCGGGGGCGGGCGAGAGGATCTGGGCACCCCGCCCCCTGCTTGCTCCTCGGACCCCGTGACTCAGCGCTGGGAACTGGGCGGAGGGACGGTGGGGGAGCTGCCTTCCCTTCTGCCCCAGTTTCCCACTGGTGGCCCCCCACCCCCAGTCCTTCCTTCCCTGCAGTCTCCCACTCAGCTTCCCCGATTCCATAGTCTATTCCTTACCGCGATTCACCCCCCCCAAACCTTTGCATAATCCACTGCCAGGAAAAGGGGAACAGAAACCAGGAAGGAGGGGTCAGGAAAGGAGGGGCAGCTTCCCCCACCCCATACACACAGCCCTACCCCTAGGGTGGGTGGGGCAGGGATTTGGTCCCATACCCCTCACCCTCTAAAAACCCGCATAGCCGAAAAGGGACCCCCCCTACAAATCAGAAATATATTATTGCTTCTAGATCCCTGGGAAGATCCAGGGTTTGGGGAGGGGGGAACCCCACCTTTACAATAGAGCTGTGTGTGTATGTATATATTTATATATATACAAAATATTATATATGTATATATACATATATATATTTATCACCCCTTGGTGGGAGGGAGTCTGCCCCAATCTGGGGGAGAGCCCAAACTTTTCCCTGTATGTGGGACTAGCCCGGAGCTGCCAAGGTACAGAGGAGGAGCCGGGTCTGGTACCCTTGAAGGCAAAATTCCCCTGACCCACAGTACAGTCTGTGCTCCACAGCCCTCATATTCCTTGGCATTTGTGCCCACCCTGCGACTCCACCCTAGTCCAGCTCCTTTTCTCATTTAAGAGGATTCCATGGCACCCTCAGCCTGGGGTGTGGTTGGTGCCCCCTCCTCCTCGTCTTCTTCAGGAGGCCCTGGGGGTGGAGGAGGAGGCCCAGCCCTGGCTGGCTGCTCCCAGAAACGTGCCAGGGAGAGGCGGAAGTCATCCAGGTGCCCGTTGGAAAGGTCAAGGCCAGGGCCAGCTGGGGTGGGCGCCTGGGGTGGGGGTAGTGGGGGGGTGCATCATCTTTTCTTCGTCTACGGGTCCGGACCTCCAGGCAGTTCTGGCCCTTCAGGTGACGCTGCAGGTGGTCCTCCTTGGCGAAGGCCTTGTGGCACAGGTGGCATTCAAAGGGCCGGTCGCCTGTGTGCAGGTGCATGTGGTTCTTGAGGTCATAACTGTGGAGGAAGCGTGCTGGGCAGTGTGGGCATGAATATGGCCGCTCACCAGTGTGCTTCCTCATATGGATCTTCAGCTTGTCATTCCTGGGGAGGGGAAAGGGGTGGAGTTGGAGATGGTGGAAGAGATAGGGTAAGGACCTGCAGGTAGGAATAAGGCCTGGAAAAAGTCCTTGTGACTTTTGCATAGGCCTGACAAACCTGATTTCTGTAGGTATCTGCCTTCCCTCCTCACCCCCATTCCCACTTCTTCCACCCCTTAGGTTCTTTCATCATCCTTTTAGCTTTGTCCTCAGGCATTGGGCTTCCTTAATTTCTCTCCCATTTTGGCCTCATTTTTTACCTAACCTTAATCACTGAATGGGTGTTGCCTTGGACAGACTGAGGCCAGAAAAAGACCTTAGCTCAAAGAGGCCAAGGCCTCCCACTGCATTGGGACCATCTCCAGTCTTCCTGATCTATATCTTCCCACTGGGCCTCGATGCCTCCTTAGGAGAGAGTGTAACCTTGTACAGCCGTTCCCTCACTTAAATCCAATTCAGTTGCAAGTCATGACATCTCCTTCCTGATGTCATGGTCCTCTTTGAGAATGAAGGACAAAACTCATTTTGGCATCATTCTGTTCTTCATCTGCCTGTACTTATCTTATTTGCTGAAATCCAATGCCCACCTGTCCTATGTCCCTGATGCCCTACGGCAGTATCCTTGAACTCCTAACTTTGGCCTTTTCACCCCCTTCCTCTCCCCAACTCTCCACTTCCCACTGCATTCCTATACCATCTTCCCTTGCTCTTGGCTGGGGATTCCAGAGTGGTTCTCCCCTTCCTGGGTTCTTAGTAGGTGTGGCACTCTCCTTTACCCTCTTGCCCTCTGCCCCCTGCCCCCAAAGCTGGGTACCCTCTCACCTGGTGAACCTGACGCCACAGACCTCGCAGGCAAAAGGCTTCTCACCGGTGTGGGTCCGCATGTGTCGGGGCAGCTTGCCTGCCCCATGAATGATCTTGTGGCAAACTGGACATTCCTGGGGCATCTGGGAACGACGCTTGCGTACCAGCTTGTCCTGGCCATCTATCCCTGGGGTGAGGGCTTCATGGTTCAGAGAACTCAGATAGGCCATCAGGTCGGGGTCAATGGCATCCTCATCTGAGCCCAACTCTTCAGGGGACAAGGGGGGTGCCCCACTCTGAGCCAGCCCATAGGCTGGTGGGTACACTAGATCTTCCTCTTCTTCCTCCCCCTCATATCCTTCATAGCCCAGGTGCCCCTCAGGGGGTGACCTGGCCCCACCAGGGGGGCTATAGCTATCCCCTAGACTAATGCCACTTGCTGCCTCTTCCTCATCTGGGTAGGTAAACGGGTGGGGGGGTATGGCAGCCACATCAGACAGCAGATGGTTGGTTTGAGGCCTCTTTGTTTGCAAAAAGGCTTTTCGGGGCTTTCGGCTTCTTCGGGGAACAGGCCGTGTTGGGGGTGGGGGTGGTGGAAGAGGGGCTGGTAGTGGACTGTCATCACCATTGGGCACCCGAGTGCCCACAGTGGCAAAGGCCTCCAGGTACTGGCGGGCTCTCTCACAGTCATCTTCATCAGGACCAGGGGCCTCCAGCCCGCTCCCCTGCAGGATTTCAACACAGGCAGCAATGACACACGGGATCTCCAGCAGTCTCGCTGCCTGGAGGACAGCAGGCATGTTGGCGCTACTGGTGGTGAGGGTGGCCGTGTAGGCAAACTCCAGCAGGGCTCCTAGTGCTTCTGGGCCCACAAAGTCCAGTTCACAGACGCCGGCACCCGAGGAGGCAGCCATGCCACCACTGGCACCTGTGCCCCCGCCTCCCTCAGTGAACAGTTTCTTAAAGTAGTGGCTGCAGGCAGCCAGCACTGCCCGATGGGTTCGGTATTCTAGGCCTTGGGTTCGGATCGTGAGATCACACAGCTGGCCCAGCTGGCGCTGCTCATTCAGACAGCTGAGGAGCTCACTGCTGTGATCTGGGAAGGGAATCCCAATGAGATCATCTTCAGGGCTCCCCATCCTCACCTGCAGGGATGATGGAAAGACATGAGCCACAGTTAGGATTGGGCGCTCGGCATTTTGAGGAAAGGAGAATAGGTGTTTCTTCATGCAAACCAAGTCTTTAACCCCCAGCCTCATCAGCTGCATTCCCTCTGCCTTCAAGAAACTATCTTTTTTGAATCCCAGTGCAAAGAAGACTGGAAAAAGAGAATACCTGGAATCTAGCTCCAGCTCTGCCACTGATTTACAGTGTGACTTTGGGCAAGTCACCAAACCTTACTTTCCTCATCTGTGAGTGGGGGCATCATAATCATAGAATTGGAGCCATCATGAGATCATAGATTCAGAGCCTGAAGGGACCTGAAGTTAATAGTCCAACTCTGTCATTTTACAGATATAGAAACTGAGGTACAGAAAGGTTAGGTGACCTGTCCAAAGTCATACAGGTAGCAAGCAGAGCCCTAGATTTGAACCCAGGTCCTCTGATTCCAGAGCCCAGTATTTTACTCACTGCTATGCTTCTAGCTAAGTGATCTCTCAGCTCTTTCAAACTCAGACATTCTATAGTGGTATGATCTCTGCTCTCCCAAGTCTCAATTCCTCCATCTGTGAAAAGAGGAAAATACCTCCATGCTGCCTACCCTGCCTCTCCCACAGGTTTGTGCAGCTCAAATGACAGGATGGACACAGAAGAAAGTCCTCAAAGGGATTCACAAATCTAATGTATTTTTACCCTAATTTTTCTCTCTCAACCAGGTTCTCCCCATCTGGAGTGCCCCTCCCTATCTAGTGGACGGGAAATGTGCAGCTCCCAGGGGCCCCCTACATCCTCTCCCCCCCCTCCAACAATGGGGCCCGGGGAACAGCCACCAAGGGCGCTGGGGTGTCTCTGGTGCTTCCTGCCCTGAAGATAAGCATCTTGCCCGACCCCTCCCCCACTGACAATAGGCTAGGCTCCCCGCTCCTACCCCCTCCTCACAGATTCCATCTCCCCCTCCCCCATTCCCAGGCAGGCAGGAGGTGCCCCTGGAAGTGTCCGCAGTAGGCACCAATCTGATCCTCTTCCCCTTTTAAACCACTGCTAGGGCTAGCATAGGTGGGGTGAGGGTTAACTGAGGCACCATGATGCCTTTTCCACCCTGGAAGCATGGGGGAGGGCGGCACCCAGCAGATTGTGACAAGGAAGGCTAGGGAGTCTTTTGTCTGTGGGGTACACCATTACGGCCTTCAGCCCTCTCACTCGTCAGGTAAAGGTAGGCTAGATCTTGTATTATACAGATATTGACAGTTTCCAGGGTGCTTTCCCCACAGTAACCCTGTGATACAGGTTGCATAAGGAGTACTATCCCCATTTTGAAACTGGGCCCCAGAGAGGCAACCTGACTTGCCTAGAGTCACACAGCAAACTCCAGACTCGAACCCTTGTAGCCTGACTCCAAATTCAACACTCTTTCCATTCTGTCTGCTGCAGTGGTGAAAAGGGACCCCTGAGCTTCTCAGAGAAAAATTTCCCCACCTCATAATGTGGGGTATGGACACAGTCCAAAATTCTCCAAAAAGGGACAAAGACTCGGAGACTTGTATATGAGTACTAGTCATAGTGTGACCTTGGGCATGTCAATTCCCCTCCTCTGCAAAAGGAAGGCCTTGAAGTGGACGATGGCCAAGGTCCCTTCCAACTCCACATTTTATGTCTCTGTTACCTCTGCCACTCCCACAGCAGCTGCCCAGCCCTGGCCAACGATGGGGACTTGGTTATTTGGGGGAGGGGGAAATAAGGCGGGGCCCCAAGTTTCCTCATTAAGATACAAGAGCAGCATTGTGTCTATGTGACGGCTCTCCTGTGTACCTCCCTGATTGCAAAGCCCAGAGCATGGCTCCCCCCGCCCCCAAGCCTTGAGCAAGCAGCTGCCCACACGTGTTTCTGGGGGTAAGGCAGTCCTGGTTGTACCCTAGCATCTATAGGCACCACTTTCCCCAACTTGGAAGCTAGCCCCCGGGAGTGAAGCACTGGGGAGGCCTTCTTCTGTCTAGCTCCAGGCTTTGTGAGAGGTTCTTGGGCCTAAGTGCCACCAGGACTTTGCAGAAGCAGAAAATACACAGAAGCTGAGGTGGGCAGCAACAGTGGCCCAGTTGGGACCCTAGGCTTACACTCCTCTGGGAAGAGGAAGAAAGTGAGAGAGGGAGGAAAAGAGGGAGGGGCCACCCTGGTTGTCCATTGGCCATGAGCTGGGGCACCGGCGCGGGCATGCGGCTCTTTCCACTCCCTTTCAGTCCTTCCCTCTCTTCTGTTCCCCCCCCCACCACTAGTTCCCTCTGCTGAGCCCTCCCTCCTTCTCCCACCCCAGGGGCGATCTCCTTGGCAACCTGGTGTGGCGGGGGTGCTGATTGGCTGACCCCACTGTCAGGTCAGGGGCGCAGCTTGGTTCACCATGCAGCTCTCACAGGCTCAGGCAAGAGTGGGTGTTTAACTCCTTAATGCCACACCACTGCCCATTCTAAGGAGATATCAGTTAAAGGAGGAGGAGGGGCAAAATGAGAGGGGGCGTGGACAAGATGGGGAATAAGGCCCAGACCACCCTTCCTCCCTAGGCAGATTCCCCCAGGACCCTGGCACTTATGTCAATCTGAGTGACACCTGGAGCTAGGCTGGTGCCAACCAGGCTAAGGGGGCAGAGTCCCAGCCACTGGGAAGTATGAAGGACCATTGCAGACCTTTCTTTCTCCTGGGGCAGGGTATTGGTGCCAGTGTGCCCACTCCCCCTCGGGCAACCTGCCCACCTCTCCATCCTAGAGCACCCAGCCCCCAACGCCCCATGAGGGCGGCCCCATCCCCACCCTGCCTGGCATGCCCCCTCTTGCTAAGACCTCGTGGGCATGGACGGGTGTGGTGGTAGTTGGGGGGTGGGGAGGGCAGCTGTGCTGGGGGTGCCAGGGAACCAGGCTTGGTCTGTTTGCCTTGGGGGGGGACGAGAAGCTGGGGGCCCCGCCCCACTCTTCCCCCCTTGCCAGCCACCCCCCCACCCCCCCAGGCTCCCCTCACTGTCAGGCCTGCTCGACCGGCCGGGCAGGTGGGCAGCTCTCTTGAAACTGGGACCTGAGTCAAATCTGCCCCATCTTGGTTGGGGTGGGGGTGCAATAAAGGGGATGAAGAGAGGGACACCAGTATCACCTAGCTACCCTCCTTGGTGCCAGTGGGCACTAGTCAAGGTAAGCCTATTTCACTGGAGCCAAAAGGGCAGAGCCCATTAGCCCTGGATTTGGCTAAAGTAAAGTTTGGTGTCCTGCCCCAGGTGCCAATACCAGGGAGTACTCAGTCCAGTGATTTGAGGGTTATAATAAATAGTAGGACCAATGATGCTAGTCAGTGCCGGCTAATGGGCAGATTTAGGAAGCCCTGTGTCGGACAGTTGAGTAAAGCAAGCTGGCCACCACCACCCCATCCCTGGGATTACGGGAACCAGCTTGGAGGGGTGGAGCCAGGATTATGGGGTGAGGGAGAAGATAGATACTGGACTAAGATACAAGCATACATTCCCTCCTTTACTCTTCCCCCACCCCCCAACATTGTCAGATTCTGGTATTAGGATGAAGACTGGGCATGGGGTGTCGGTTCTGTGGGGGTGAGGAAGAGAGAGAGCCCGCTAGAGCCTAGAGCTAGCTCTATAGCTGCAGGTCCAAGAGAAGTGTTTGAGACCCCACAGATTTGGAATAAAAGCACAAAGACCCTCAGTGACAGCTAGAAAGAACAGACTGAAAACTCTGAATACCTCTAGCTCCCCTTCCCCCATGCTTCTCTTTCCCTCCAACCTCCACCCCCACCCCATCTCCAGCTTCAGGTTTTCTTCCTGTTTTTGTGGAGTTAGCTTGCACGAAGCACAGGCTTTGGCCTGTGGCTGGACCAGGGGATAGGTGGTAGGGCCAGGTGGGGGGGAGGGTAGGGGGACGACCAAAGGGCCAGACTAGTTTCCCCAAAGACCCAGAGGCCCACTGCTTCCATTAGACTTTTCTGACCCACTCTCAAACCTGAGGACTGACACCTGGATCCCAAGGTTGCTTGGTAAGATGGAGAAGTATGAGGAGAGGAGAGACAGAAAACTCATCTACTGCTCTACTACTGGGCCATGGCTTCAGGGCTTCAGAGAAGGCCCTTTTATTCCACGATGCACAAAGGACTAATGCCCTCCAACCCTAGCCCCTCCGGCTTCTGCCTGCCTCCCCCCACCCCTTCCCCCCTCCTAACCTCACCACCCCCAGAACTCACACTTCCTGGGGGCCAAGACAGGGAGGGGAGAGACCGCAAGCCACGAAGGGGGAAGGAGGTGAGAGGAGCTGGCTGCTTCCCGGTGCTATTGGGGTTAAGCCAACCTCCCCCCAAGTCTTTTATTCCAATCATCTGGGCACCCAAGAAGAAAGAGATTTTGGTGCCCCCACTTTTTCCTTTCCATGACACAAGCCCACAGACGCCTAGGTTTCCAGCAGGGGAGATATGAAGGAGATATGAGAGGGAAGAGGATGCTGGTGGGATGTGGGGTGGGGGTGGATTAAGAAGACCTCCGCTTCACCCAAACATCCTTCATGGTATACCTCTTTAACCTCCAGCTAAGTCCAAGGCTCTAAACCCCTTGGGGGGGGGGGTTTCCCTAATCCTCACTGCCCACTCTACTTCTTTCCATTCCTTGTCTCTCTCCTTCCCAACATATCTCCCTTACTCTTCCCTTGTCCCTAGGTCTTCCTGGACTTCCCCACTCCCTTCTCTTGCTTCTCTCCTGTGGAATGATCCCTGTTCTCTACTCGGACCCTTCCTAAAACCTGTCCTCATCTTTCCCATCAAATCCTTTATGGTATCTCCCCAAGACCCACTCAGTTTCTCTACTCAAGTGTAGAAGGCAATAGATGAATGGTGCATATCACAGAAACAATATCAGAGCTGGAACCCAGTTTCTTCAAGACCTGGCAGTGCAATGGGAGACAATGAATGCCATTAGCCAAAGTCCTCATGTTGGCCTCCTGGATTAAGGAAG